ACATCCTGTGCACGGTTCTTGTGTACATCCTGTGCACGATTCTTGTGTACATCCTGTGCACGGTTCTTGTGTACATCCTGTGCACGGTTCTTGTGTACATCCTTTTGCACGGTTCTTGTGTACATCCTGTGCACGGTTCTTGTGTACATCCTGTGCACGGTTCTTGTGTACATCCTGTGCACGGTCTTGTGTACATCCTGTGCACGGTTCTTGTGTACATCCTGTGCACGGTTCTTGTGTACATCCTGTGCACGATTGTGTACATCCTGTGCACGATTGTGTACATCCTGTGCACGGTTCTTGTGTACATCCTGTGCACGGTTCTTGTGTACATCCTGTGCACGGTTCTTGTGTACATCCTGTGCACGGTTCTTGTGTACATCCTGTGCACGGTTCTTGTGTACATCCTGTGCACGGTTCTTGTGTACATCCTGTGCACGGTTCTTGTGTACATCCTGTGCACGGTTCTTGTATACATCCTGTGCACGGTTCTTGTGTACATCCTGTGCACGGTTCTTGTGTACATCCTGTGCATGGTTCTTGTATACTCCTGTGCACGGTTCTTGTGTACATCCTGTGCACGGTTCTTGTGTACATCCTGTGCACGGTTCTTGTGTACATCCTGTGCACGGTTCTTGTGTACATCCTGTGCACGGTTCTTGTGTACATCCTGTGCACGATTGTGTACATCCTGTGCACGATTGTGTACATCCTGTGCACGGTTCTTGTGTACATCCTGTGCACGATTGTGTACATCCTGTGTACGGTTCTTGTGTACATCCTGTGCACGATTGTGTACATTCTGTGCACGGTTCTTGTGTACATTCTGTGCTCGGTTCTTGTGTACATCCTGTGCACGGTTCGTGTGTACATCCTGTGCACGGTTCGTGTGTACATCCTGTGCACGGTTCTTGTGTACATCCTGTGCACGGTTCTTGTGTACATCCTGTGCACGATTGTGTACATCCTGTGCACGGTTCTTGTGTACATCCTGTGCACGGTTCTTGTGTACATCCTGTGCACGGTTCTTGTGTACATCCTGTGCACGGTTCTTGTGTACATCCTGTGCACGGTTCTTGTGTACATCCTGTGCACGGTTCTTGTGTACATCCTGTGCACGGTTCTTGTGTACATCCTGTGCACGGTTCTTGTGTATACCCTGTGCACGGTTCTTGTGTATACCCTGTGCACGGTTCTTGTGTACATCCTGTGCACGGTTCTTGTGTACATCCTGTGCACGGTTCTTGTGTACATCCTGTGCACGGTTCTTGTGTACATCCTGTGATACGCTCAGCGTGTTGTGTTCACGTTTGTAGGAGATTATATGAAGGTAAGGTAATCGTTTTTCCATTTGAAAAATGTAAACATTGTAAGCATGTTTCGCCCTTAACTCCCTCTCTCCCTCCCTGTCACCCTCCCTCTCCATCCCCACTCCCTCATTCTTTTCGTATCTCTCCTCCATCCTCTTTCTCCCTTCCTCTCTGTGCCATCACCTCGCTTTCTAACTTTCCTTTCCACTTCTCTTTTTCCATTCCTTCCTTTCTCCCTCTTCGGTCACTTTCCATTTCCCTTTCCACCTTCCCAAGTAATCTATTTCCATTACCTTAACGTCCAGTTGTTCACAAATTTAGGATATTTTCTTAATATGACTGTTCTTATGTTTATTAATAAGATACCTTGGCATATCACTTAGGTTATTATACCTGTATCTCTGTATTCCTCAATATTTGGACAGTTAAGGACAGTGTTGAAGATTAGTGACCATAGGGTTGGCCATATTGCATTTGGTTTGATTATCTGTGTGTCTCCCAAACTGCCAGAAAGAAGTACTTGCAGATGCAACACTGCTAGTAGACTCCTGCTGGAGGTAACAAGAGCAGATGCAACACTGCTAGTAGACTCCTGCTGGAGGTAACAAGAGCAGATGCAACACTGCTAGTAGACTCCTGCTGGAGGTAACAAGAGCAGATGCAACACTGCTAGTAGACTCCTGCTGGAGGTAACAAGAGCAGATTCAACACTGCTAGTAGACTCCTGCTGGAGGTAACGAGCAGATGCAACACTGCTAGTAGACTCCTGCTGGAGGTAACAAGAGCAGATGCAACACTGCTAGTAGACTCCTGCTGGAGGTAACAAGAGCAGATGCAACACTGCTAGTAGACTCCTGCTGGAGGTAACAAGAGCAGATGCAAACACTGCTAGTAGAACCCTGCTGGAGGTAACAAGAGCAGATGCAACACTGCTAGTAGACTCGTGCTGGAGGTAACAAGAGCAGATGCAACACTGCTAGTAGACTCCTGCTGGAGGTAACAAGAGCAGATGCAACACTGCTAGTAGACTCCTGCCTATATAATTATTTAATATTTTATTATTATTATTATTATTATTATTATTATTATTATTATTATTATTATTTATTTTTTATTATTAATTTTGTCCTTGTTATTTTTTATATTCGAGCGGTAAAGCCGTAAGGGAGGGGGATTCAACGACTGAGCAG